GCCAGTGCCATGAGTAGAACATGAATAGCTCCCACACTGTAGTTGTGTATAAAGAGGAAAAGAAAGAGAGAGCAAGAGTCTGGGTCAGTGTCCTCTATCACTGCCAGCCTTTTCCCCATGATGGATTCTGCTGTATTAACTGTACCTTAAGAATAATGCATGAGACCTGGAGACTAGGTGCAGGTTTTGGCTCTGTATGGCTGTCAATCTAATGTAAACACACAATAGATCCTCTACTTAGTTTCACCTGTGCTTGAGAACCCCAGCACTAAGCCCAGAAGGATCAGAGATGAGGCTACAGCGACTGGGGATTGCAGAGTTTTTCAGTTACTGTTGCCATCAACAAGAGCGAGTGCAGAAGAGCGTGCCGTTTTCTTCTGAAATAAGCTTTGGTTTCAGGGATGTGCAAAGATGTCCTGTTCTCCTCCCTTTCCCTTCAATCAGTTCCCACACGTGTTCCAGGTCTGACAAACCAAACCAGAATCCTCATGTCCCTTCTGATGATGTTGGACGGTGCATTAAACCCAAACCACCACCATGGTTTTGAAGGATTAAATACGGCAGACAATTGCAATACCTGTATTAAACACAGTAATACAAATGCATGAGTCATATATATACATATATATATACTGTTCTTGGTTTTATTGTTCCATTTGAATATTTCTACTGTAAAAAAGGCAGTGGTTTTGAAATTGTTGAAAATAAATGTATTTTTGTACATCAGAGTTAGCCCAGCTGCTCTTTCAGTCCTTGTTCTTCTCAAATTTCCTTGTGGCAGTCTGCTCCGTCTTCACTGGATTTCCCTTGCCACATCTACCCTCTGACCTTATCTGTCATTCAGGGTCATGCAAAATACATTCAGGGTGAGCAGAGAAATGTCATAAGGCAGGATTTTTGAGATAAAATATAAAAAACCTGCCGTTCCTTCTTACTCCAAAAATAATTTTCTTGCCTTTCCATCCCACAGGCCCATTCTCTTTGGAGCCCTGGAGATAAATAGGAGGGCAGAACTGCCTGCTTATGCAGACAAGGCCCTGTGATCCCATGCTTCCATCTAACAGACTTTAGTCTGGAAGAAGCTGTGAAGTGCCCAAGTGCCAACTCCACCTCTCTCAAAAAACAAAACAAAACAAAAAACCCACACCTTCACTACTTGACACAAGAGTCTGTTTAAAAAGGAAAAGAGAGCATGGAAACACGTCTCTTCATATGCATCAATCATCTCCCTCCATGGACATGCATACATATACACACACTCTCACCCCTTTACCCTTTCCTTTCCTTTAGCTCTAGAGTTCCATGAACTGTAGATTTCTGGAGTGTGGGAGAGTTACCTGGCAAACATCTCTCCATGGCAGTCTCCTTCTTACACTGCTTTCCAGATGTCTGCTACTGGTCACTG